AAAACATTTCTTTCAGAGATTCAGCAAAGAAACACTCATCCATAACTGAAATAACATAGGAAATGAATACGGGTCATTTTAGACCCATGTTGTGCATTAGAAGGGTAGTGACACAAAAACTATTTTTATTCAAAAAGTAAGAAAGAAAAAATAAAAATAAAGAATTTGTGATGATCAAAAACAAGTTAATTTAAGAATTCCTGGAATTCTGAATGATTAAATTAATTTCTTGCAAAGATATAGAAAAAATAAACTCATTTGGGTCACTTTAGACCCATATTGTGCATCAAAGAGTTAACGTGACCTCTGATAGATAGACAGACAGACAGACAGACAGATAGATAGATAACGATAGACAGACAAACAGTATGAAAGAGGTGCAGACAGATAGAATAAAAAAAAAGACAGAATGACAGGCAAATAGAAGGACAGACAGATAGATCAATAGATCGCATGTGTTTGTCCTGCGTGTGCTCCTCAGCACACGTGTGCTTTCTGTATGTGTCTTTGTGTGCAGGAGTTTCGCTGCGAGACAGCTGAGGGAGAACTGTGTATGCGGTGTGAATGGCCATACTGAACGGACTGGCCTGCACGGCCTTGTCCTGATGGGAGTCTAGCGCAGCTGTTGTGCTGGGCTTAGGCCAGGCTTACAGCAGTTGCACCAGCACCACTGTACTCTGGGGCTGCTCTCAACTAACATGGCTTATGAACTAGAGATGCACCGATCGACCGGCCATGGACTGGAATTAGCCGATTTTCCGCATGATCGCCTGGACCGGCCAGTCAGTCTACCGATTCTGAGCCGGTCTGTTTTGACGACACACTTACGGCGACTGATAGTGTATTAATGTCGTGCCAGATGAGGCTCGCGCAGCCTGAGTGAGTGTGTGAGAGAGACTCGTGCAGAAACCAAAACTAATGAGCACAACAGCTGACACAGAAATTTATAGATGTATACTGCGGCAGTTAAAAAGGAATTTAGACTATAATATATGATTTTGGTAAGCAACATTGCACGACCAAGATGTTTCCGCGAATATCAACACGACTGCAATGTGACACTGATTTTATACAGTAGTAGTACAATAAACAAGAAGTTAAAATGAAGTGACTGACATTTTAGAAACAATATTGACTCAATTGCCCGTTCGCAAACCACAGATGTCTCTCCGTGGCCACTAGGGCTGCCATAGACCGCCCAATTGCTCTGGCGGTCTTTGTGGCCCGGAGTGACAAATCTGTGGCTCTACGCAATTCAGCGATGTACTGCGGAACTGAATGAATCCACGTTTTTGAATGAATCAAGCGAGTCAACGATTCAGTAACCCATTCATGAAGATAGTCAATTGCCTCGTTTCTGAATGAATCAGCCGTTTGAACGAATCTGTTGAATGAAGGAAATGACTCACTCATTAAGACAGTCATTTGCCGCCACCTACTGGTGGTTTGGTTTCATATATATCATTGCATTTTTTTTCCAACATTTCTTATTTGTATGTTTGAAAATATTTGAAACAATATTATAAAATGCAATTACATTTGCAATTTTGCGATGTAAATGCATTTTTGGCACCTCAGCTTCATCAAACAGTCTGTGTAAATACATTTAATGCCACTTCAGATAAAGCTTCTGTGTTTGCTGCAGTGGAAAGATGGAGTTTGTTGATGCTGATTTCATTTGAATGGTAGCAACTCTACAGTTTCTTATTATTTTAACTGAATTAATTGAAACAATGTAAGAATTTGATGTGAAAGATGACATTTTATAAGGTTAGTAAAAAAAACTAGGGGTGCTCTGATTGATCGGCTACCGATCACTATCGGCCGATAATCACGTTGGGATGTTTGATCGGCGGTCTCTAAAAAGGCCCATCTCAAAAAAACGATCTCAAGCTGCCGTCAGTGGTTTGGCATAACATGCAGCGTCACCGTCTCAGTCTCTGTCCGGCGCAGGTAAAATAATTATAATGCTGAAGGTGAGGTACTCTCCTCTTCATTAAATAACTTATAAAGTAATTTGAAAACCTTGTGTGAGACGTAATTTTACAAACAGCATGAGTGAATCACTGCACGCGCTCTCTTTCTCTCTCAAAATACGCAAATGGCTTCAAATCACCATATCGCGCCTATCTATAAGCGGGCTGCACACTGCACAGTTGACACAGGAATTGTCACTTGCACAATCGAGGCATTGTCACATCGTCACTAAGATTTCAATGCAAAAGAAAAGTAGTAGAGCTGACTATTTTTGTCAATGGTAAGTTTGTGATAACGTAAGAAAAATAGTTTAAATGTTAAATACATTTAATGCCACTTCAGATAAAGCTTCTGTGTTTGCTGCAGTGGAAAGATGGAGTTTGTTGATGCTGATTTCATTTGAATGGTAGCAACTCTACAGTTTCTTATTATTTTAACTGAATTAATTGAAACAATGTAAGAATTTGATGTGAAAGATGACATTTTATAAGGTTAGTAAAAAAAACTAGGGGTGCTCTGATTGATCGGCTACCGATCACTATCGGCCGATAATCACGTTGGGATGTTTGATCGGCGGTCTCTAAAAAGGCCCATCTCAAAAAAACGATCTCAAGCTGCCGTCAGTGGTTTGGCATAACATGCAGCGTCACCGTCTCAGTCTCTGTCCGGCGCAGGTAAAATAATTATAATGCTGAAGGTGAGGTACTCTCCTCTTCATTAAATAACTTATAAAGTAATTTGAAAACCTTGTGTGAGACGTAATTTTACAAACAGCATGAGTGAATCACTGCACGCGCTCTCTTTCTCTCTCAAAATACGCAAATGGCTTCAAATCACCATATCGCGCCTATCTATAAGCGGGCTGCACACTGCACAGTTGACACAGGAATTGTCACTTGCACAATCGAGGCATTGTCACATCGTCACTAAGATTTCAATGCAAAAGAAAAGTAGTAGAGCTGACTATTTTTGTCAATGGTAAGTTTGTGATAACGTAAGAAAAATAGTTTAAATGTTTTGACACTTGCTTGAGCAACTTAATATATAAATCTAGAAGTAAATTCAAAAGTAAAAAGCATTGAATAATTTGTTGCTTATATTTATTGTGTTTAAACATGTCTGTGAAAGACTGTATTACTGTACTGTGTAAAAAAAGAATTGCAATGCTGAAAAAGCATTTTCAGTGACAATGTTTGGATTTGAAATCAAAATAATGGATAAATGTTGTGTTTGTGGTAAACAGCCACGGATCAGTAGCGGACTCCTGTGTGAAAGCACAGTCCGTGCTGCTTTCCCTCTCACAAGAGTCAACTAAGAGGGGAATTCCCCCCATTTTCAAAAATGAAATTCAGGCCCTGAATAAATGTCTAAAAATCTGATCTGAAAAAATCCTGATTGGAGTAACACTATAAATAGTTATAAATGATAAAAAGAAGGCTTTAAAAAGATCAGTATCGGTGATCGGTATCGGCAGATGTGCATCTCTATTATGAACAGAACATCCTGATCTGAAAGGCCTTTAAACATCTATTCCTTCATGATCAATATAACTTCAAACTGCACATTGAGTTTTAGCACCAAGTCCAGGTTAACAAAAAATAGGCCCAATAGGCCCAATATTCAAATTATAGTATTTTTCCTAAATAAATTAGCTATAAATAAAACACTAGAAACTTAAATCAGTTGTTTAAAATACTAAAAGTGACTTTAGGAATCACAATGTAAAAATTTAAAATAACAATTCCAGGCAAAATACTATGCGTTACACTTTAGTCCACCCCATTTAAGAATAATTACACCAAATTACGACCATTTCACACAAAAATCACACCATTCACAGGATGTTTTGTAAAGTTTGTCTGAGTAAGGAGGACTAAACAAGACCCCCTCTTGTATAGCGATGGGTCAACAGTCTCAACTCCTCCCCCGAAATCCAATAAACCAGACACCTCACCTGCCCATCACCAGCTCTGGAATTCATCCAGTGTTATTTTATATTTGATTACTTTAATTTCTGTAGTCTTCATTGTAAAAATTAAATACAGATTAATGCTTACTATTAAAGTTATAAAACGTATTCAGTCAAGAGCGGAAAATGATTTTCTTTGTCTTTTGTTCTTTGATTAACGTGACAGCATAAATATTGGACTGCGGTCCCTTTAAGAGTCCCTTTAATACTGTTACACAACATGCATTCTCTTTCTCAACTATTTAACGTTCCAAAACTGACTGTGTTTAACTGGATACTCGCCAAGACGGGCATTTTGACATAATTTTGTATGTATTTGAACGTTTTAGCGCAGTTAGCCACTCATTTTGGTATTTGTGGCTCACTAGCTGTTTGAGACTGAGCGTGGATTTTGCGCTTCAATAATATAGATCAGTGATGGCGTGCGCACGTTTGGTATAAGCGCGAAACCTGCGGGAATGACTATAATGCGCAATACAAGCACTATTTAACCGGAGTGAATGAGACGTGTGTTAGAGAGAAGGGGTCGTCGGAGAGAAGGGAGTGAGAATGCGCGGCTGATGTTATTGCCTGTGCCGCTGGTAACAAAACGGATCGGCTCGAAATTGGATAGAAGTGAGACTGACCGACCGAAACACCGATCCGGGCCGATCATGAGGAAAATCGGCCGATTCCGATCCCTGGGCGATCGATCGGTGCATCTCTAGTGCCAGGTATCCCGTCAGGGTGCTAATTGCCTGCGTTCATAGCCTGAGTATAGATAGGCAGACAGTTATTTCCATGAAACGAACTAATGAACTCATTTCTGAGTCACCAAAAAGAATAAAAAATGCAAAACTGACTGTTTTTGAACAGGATTCACCAAACTCTCACATTCTGCCAGATAGTCCCATTCCAAACTCGTGCAATTAGTTGAGCTAATAGTGTTATTGTTGGGCAAACAGAGTCACATTTCAATAACACCACAGCGTTAACTTCTTAGTGGGAATCACTAATGAGTGGATAAACTTTACATTTCATGGTGAACTACTCCATTAACTGGGATAGAAGAAAGTAGAGCTCGACCGATAGTGGATTTTACTGATACCGATAGCTAAGTTGGACCACACTGGCTGATACCGATTAATAGGGATGTAACGATTTACCACGAGCCGGTTGAAAATCGATTCAAATATGTGACGATTCAAATCGGTTGAGATGCTAAACAAATCGCGATTCAGTTAGGGGTAAGAGTTTATATGAATGCATGTCTGCGGGGAACTTACTGTCTTTAGAAAAGTTTAGATGGTATTTTTTCTTTTCATCTTGCCTCTGTATAATGCATATTAAAGTTCATAAGTGCAGCACTGTTTTGTTTACAGCGGAAACCAAGGAAACGCTTTAAGCGCCACCTGCTGGCAGAGGGTGCATCTGCGTTTCGTTCAGCTCAGCTTTCATGCAGATATTTTTTATGTATAGTTTCACAAAACTGAAGTCAAATCATTCTGTTTTTGCTTCAAATTTCGAAATTATACAACCTAATTTAGATTAAAAACTGTTCATGTTGCATGTATGCAGCATCTTTGTTTGGATCATGATTAAAATGCAGTGGTTGCCTCTAATTTTAAATGGAAAGAGCACAGACAAAGCCTTATTGTGTTTATATGAAGATATATTTTTTATTTGTGTTACTTATTTGATTTGGGGCTTGTTTTAAAATTTCAATTTAGTTTTGTTATTTACATTTACATTAGCCTATATTTAAATTTTGTTATTTAGCAGACGCTTTTATCCAAAGCGACTTACAAATGAAGACAACAAAAGCAATCAAAACCAACAAAAGAGCAATAATATGCAAGTGCTATATTAGTATATTATTATAGTGTTATATTTCAATTTCACAAAGAAACGTGCAGCATTTTGTCCAAGCAATAATAAAGGACACATTTAATTTATAATTTGTCTTAAATCTCATTTTGTACAACAAAAAAAAAATCGTGAATCAAATCGAATCATGAAATCAAAATCGTGAATCGAATCGTGAGTTGAGTGAATTGTTACATCCCTACCGATTAATCAACCGATAGTTTTTAAAATGGATACTGAACGAAAACCAAAGTAGTGATTTACTATTACTACATTATGTTGATCATTAAAGTAAGTTCATAGTTTATTAACGTTGACAAACTTTAAAATTTAAAAATGTATTAGCAATAGTAAATGTTGAAATTAACACACTTTAACAAGGAACAATACATATACAGCTTTCATTAATCTTAATGTTACAAATGGGCTCTTTTTGTAAAGTGTTACCATTTAATTTCAATAGTCATGCTTAAAGATGGCCATCTTTAAATATCTACACAAAGGCCATAGCATTGAAATTACATACATATGAATATTGTATGTGTACCGTCACACTTTACTTGCTTCTGTTAGAAGAACACTTGATGATTATCTAATCAAAATGACAAAATACGTTCGTCACACACTGGGTAAAAGCGCAGCGCTGCATGGACAACTCACAGGTATCACACACACGAACGTGACGCGTTCAATTCAAGTGGTGGTCTAAAACGGTTTATGTAATCACCAAACGAACATAAGTTTACTTCAAGAATAGGCTTGCCGCGATAGACGGTGCTGACGGTGATACCGGTCTAAAGCCGCAACACCGTTAAGCCGGTTACATCACTTGCCCACTGCGTCACCGACCCCCACCGTTGTTTTGATTTTTTATAGTAAGAAAAATCATTTAGTTCAGTAAAAGAAGTAAAATGCGCATGCCGCTTTTAAACTATTTCAAAGTGAAGGAAAGCGAGGAAAAGAGGGAAAATTCAAACGAACTAAAAACGAACAATTCCTTTACTCCGAGTTGCCGCTATTTGAAAGTGAAAGTAAAATGCGCACGCCGCTTTTACAAGCTATTTAAAAGCGAAGGAAAGCGAGGAAAAGATGGAACGGCCCCGCGGTGATGTCACACATCGATTAACCGGTGGGAAAATTTCCTCACCGTCACAACCCTATTCAAGAATAGCCTTAGCTTTAACGATAGCCTTGTGGGCTCTGTGGCGTGGCAGGATTTTCTGTCGGCTGCATTTAAATCGCATTTGAAGTTTCCCGCACTGTGCAGCATGCAGTGTCACGTCAAAACAAACAAAATGAGGTGTCAGTGATTTCTGCCTCTAGAGGCCGCTCTCGCACTGTATAATAATGACAGCAGACTATTCTCAGCCTCTCCAGCAACAGATGTAACCCGGAAAAGCTATCGGTATGGATTTTTGCCGGTAACCGATAATTCCAGCAATCAACTATCGATGCCGATTAATTGGCAAAACCGATACATCGGTCGACCTCTAGTAGAAAGTATTTAAATACTGAAAAAACCACACTTCAGCTTTCAGAGGTGTGAGGCAAGAACGTCCATTACACCCCAGACTGCTGGTAAAGTGTTGCACTAGGGAATGATAGCACATGCTCACCTGTTTATCTGAAAGCGCTCAGCACATCACAGCAGAAGCCATGTGGTGCAGGACGAGGCCTATTTTAAGAACCAGCACAAAACAAAACTATCTGGCCATAAATACCCCCAGAATAATTACACTATGTACGTGCACAGAGGAACCACCGAACAATGATTCCTCAAACAATGGGCCCACATAAACAGAAGGACAGATCCTGTTCATTCACAACAATGAGGATCCAACATAAGTACTCAGCAACAACAACTGCACAGTTGTCTCCCCTCTCACTCAGTCTCTTCCTCTTTTCCAGTAAATGGCTCTCCAGTTGAAAAGACTAGTGCTGTATTACAGGCCAACAGACAATCTGATGAAGACAAACTACAATACAAAGAGAGAACTTGTGAAATTACCACATGCAATTAACTGAATGTCAACAACAGAGATAGTAATAGTAATGAATGTAACAATTCCCATTACAATTCTTAACAGCCAATAAATTATTCTTTTAGTTCCTTTGAGGAAGAAATATTTGGATAAAGAATGCAATTCAAATGCGAAATAATACGATAATCTCAAAGGTCTGTTTAGTGTTTACTAGAGCCCGACCGATATATCGTTTTGCCGATATTATCGGCCGATATGAGCCTGTCGCCGATATATCGGTATCAGCGAATATACGACACCAGTCAACACTTTCCCTTCAGTAAGGAGGTCTCTTGTTCAGGCAGCATTCACTCATTGTATTATTCGACCGTAAGTGCCTTGCGAAGTGGACTTCACATGAAATTCCTCCATGATTAGTGTCCAAACTTTTGACTGGTACTGTACTATAATATACACAAAGAATATCGGCCGATATATTGGTATCGGCTTTTTTTTTACTCCCTAATATCGGTATCGGTATCGGCCCCAAAAAACCCATATCGGTCGGGCTCTAGTGTTTACACAGACTTTTTAATAGCTTATACTATAATATATTAAATAAACATATCAAATATTTAATATTTACAAATACAAATATTTAATAACTACAAAAAACTCAAATTTTCATTAATTCATGTATTGTTATAAAACACTACTGACAATACTTAAAAGCATCAAGTTATTTGTATTTGACTACCTCCAAATGTGAAACAAAAAAGTCAAAAGTGATCACAAAAAAATGTTTACACATACATTTACAATAGTTCTGCCAAGTTTTCGTAAAGAGTTGTAGAGTTTGCTGAAATTTCCAATTAAAGGTTACAAAAGTTGCTGACAAGCTGTGTGACAGACAGTAGTATTACATCATTTACATCCTCAGTTACCACAACAATTTCGGTTTAAATCTTATTCATGAGTTTGTGTTATGCAACACTATCTTAAACACTACTGTTCAAAAGTTTGGGGTTGGTAAGATTTTAAAATGTTTTTAAAATAAGTCTCTTATGCAAAATACAATAAAAGCATCAATATCGTATATGTAAAATCAAATGTAATTTATTCCTGATGGCAAAGCTAAATTTTCAACAGCCATTACTCCAGGCTTTAGTGTCACATTAACCTTCAGAAACCATTCTAATAAGCTGATTTGATGCTCAAGAAATATTTATTATTATTATTAGTGTTGAAAACAGGAGTGTTGGTTGATATTATGCTGTAATACAATTTTTTTAAGAATTCTTTGATCAATAGAAAGTTCAAAAGATCTGTATTTATTTGAAATATTTTGTGTTATTACAATTTACTTTACGGTCACTTGATTAGTTTAATGAATCCTTGTTGAATAGAAGTATTTCTTTCCAAAACCCCAAACTTTTGAACAGTTACTGTAGCTTTTGGAAAATCTCAACCACATCTCTCAGAAATTCTCCAGATATGGCCTTTTACCTGTGCTGAGTGAACTTTCAATTGGTCTCCATTCCTATAGCCATCAATCTGACAGGCTGGTCTGAATAACAATGCACTTGGGATTATGGGAAATTGCCCAGTGCCATTCACTCAGGCCTACATTTGACATCTTACACAGCAGTTAGAACCCTGGCTACTGTAATTTATCTGTCCATCGGAGGTGCTAATGGGGCTCTTCACACAGTACACCCACACCTGCAAAGCATTGTGGGACTGCTTAATGCTTCTTCCGGGGACCCTCTTTTCCTTTATGCTGGATCAGAAGACTAGAACACCAAGCTTGACAAGTCAGCGCAAACATAATGACCTAAAGGAAGGAGGTTTTCTGAAAGAACACTGTTTTGACACCTGATCAATATTTTCACCCTTTGGTATCAGTGTTGTCTTTATTGACCTGACACTTGCTCCCTTTAAACATGCTCTTACTCTTTTGAAACAAAAGTTTGATGGAACATGTGGGCATACTCTAAAGTTTACAATGCTCTTTACAATGGTACGGATCTTATGCAAATTTTCTACGAGCATGTACAAGCATGAAAATCACACACGCCCTACAGCTTAAAGGTACGTATAAAGAGCTTATGCAACACAACACCACCTCAAGACACTGACAAGCCCCATCAGGATGAAACTCTATGAAATTATATGTTCTTTTCACTAGAGCAATGTGATATTTGCATAATTTCGTATAATCTTTTCTCTGCTGCAGTCAACAATAACAGCGACAACAGCAAAAGTGTTAGATTGAATTAGCGCGTGAGGTTTTAGTTAACACTGCAATGTAACCAG